GAAATTTAATTATGGGTATTTAAAAAAAGGCTCTGGGGGATATTTATTCATATCCCCCCCCCATAATTACGCTGCTGAATGTACCTACCACTAAATAATAATCATAWAATAAATAGAAGGCTTGGTAAAATCTATAAAATGTAATTCTTAAGATTGAAAAATATTATTTGAATATCAACCCATTTTCGAAAACAATTAGTGATTTGCAATTGCAGGTGAATCATTCTGGTAAAAAGCATAGTATATTAATGAATACTTAATAATGTACCTACCTATGTTAAATGATTGTGTGAAATTACTATACCATCATCTCACAAATATAATATTTTAGATGTTGTTTATATATGTGAAAGAAAAATGGATCCAAAACATGTTGGTTTACTTTCAAAAGTTTACGTAGAACATTGGAAAAAAATAATTGAAAAATGTATTGTCTCAAATGGTACTCCAAATTTATATAATTTTCTTATGATGCAATTTGTATCAGACATTATTAACGTTTTTAAATTTCTTTCAGAAACCACGAATCAGGAAGTTGAGTTGAACACAGAATTACTGTACCTTATCACAGCCTATTGTGAAAGGGTTTTGACAAACCCTAGAGGGTGTATGTTATTGGTAGGACGTTCGGGAATAGGACGAAACTTAGCCGTAAGAATCGTAGCATCCAGACATAACGCAACAGTCGTGTCACCTAAAATACGACCAGTTTTTAATTTGAATGCATTTAAAAACGACCTCAAAACGGTATTAAATGAACATATTTAAAAAATACAAATATTGATAACATTAAAAAAATTGTTTTCAAATTAGATAATGCAAACATGTGGAATAGACAACGAAGAAGTTTATTATGTTGTCGAAGAATATCACATAGTAAACAATGAAGTACTGGATATCGTAAGTTGTTTAATAGTGTCAGGTGAAGTGATGGGGCTCTATAAAAATGAAGAGTTAGAATCGTTGTGTTCACCGCTCAAAGATCAAATGTCTCAGCAGAATTTTGACGGAACATCGACCAATTTTTTTACACAAAGTATGTCAAATTAATAGCATAATAAAATATATTTCCCCCATAAAAAGTGATAATAACTAATAAGGCACAACACTGTCAATTGCCAACTGTAATATATATTTGTTTGATTTCAGGAGTAAAGAATAATTTACACGTAGTGATGATTTTGGATTCAGAAAGTGAATTTTTCAACAATTGCTTAGAAAACAGCCCGGCAGTGCTAGATCACTGTCACGTTGTATGGCTTGATAGGTGGGATGAAAAAACAATGGAAATAATACCGGAGCTGATTTTAAAAAAGTTGTTTCTTAAACCATAAAATTAATATCAATAATTATAATTCAAACATAAATTTCAGAAATAAAATAATGGATGAATTTCCAAATATTAAACAACATATTTCGTACTTTGCCAGTATTCATCAAGAAGCCGGAGCCTGGATGAATACTTGTCCAAGGCGTTACTTATCATTTATTCAAACATTTAGTGTCTTACTAAAGAACAAACAGGAATCAATTAATAAAAGAATGGTCCATTTAAAAGTAATATAAATTTATTTTATTTTTTTTAAATTGTTTTTATACTTAATAATATTGAATGATTAAGAACTTTATATTCTTCAGTAGTTTGTTAAAATATTAAATAGRTTTGTTAATTAATCTATACTATAGAACTCATCCCAACCTAGTTACGTAATTTAAATAAAATACAATTCTACTTAATAAGATATATCTGTCAAATAAGTTTACAACTCAAAGACTCTTCRTACATCTAATAAACTAGCTTCGAAGATAGGTTTAAACATGCTATCTTTCAGAAGGAAATTTATTGATATGTAATAGGCACYCATGTCCTATATCTTTATTTTTAATATTAAATAAATAATGAACAAGTAAATATTGTCCTAACATTTTAGAGGTGATAGGTAGGTTGGTTTTTACTTTTAATTGAAGATCCAAAATAACCTTTTACTAGTATAATTCCACTCACTTTTATAATATAGTTTTAATGGACCGATATTTCGTATATAAATATAAACTTCGATATGAATTTTAATGAAAAATCTATACTTCAGCATACATGCTATATTATTAGGTATAACTAAATTTAAAATAGTTATAAAGTATAATAATTGTATGTTCAATATAAGGAAATATTATAAATTAATGTAAGTTATACATATATGTATATTGTRTAATAATAATATTTAAAAAAATATTATCATCAAAAATTAATATGCATTATTATTATCATTACTACTTTAGCTAATATATTTATAATTTTGTTAAAATCTGTCTATACATTCAATTGCATTTTACGGGCGTTATTAAAATGCAAACTATTATTATTTTTAAATATTTTAAGGCTGGATTGTCTAAATTGATTGATGCCAGAAACATCGTAGYGAAATTGAAATCGGACGCTAGAACTCAAGAAACGAAACTAGCAGAAAAACAAGAAAAGGCCAATCAAGCACTGAATATGATATCTAGAACCATGCAAGGAGCTAATACGAAAAAAGAGCAAATGGAAAGTCTTAGAAAAGAGTTTCAAATAAAAAACGATGTTTTAAACCAGAGGTAACCTACATTACAACAAAAACCCTTCACATTCTAYAGTTCTACACAATATTTCTGATGATTTGGAGTTAACTAGGAGTTAATTGTATTTTACACAGTTTAAATAGGCAACTCTGCTTCGATATACTATACACACACCGTTGTACAGCTATTTTTTTTTTTTACTTAGCTCGCACCACGATCGTGATGTTGAAAAGAAAGTTCAATGATTCGTATTTTAAGATATAAAAAAAAAAATTATCAAAATTAACTATCAAAAATAAAATGTATAAAAATATTAAATCTGTAGTAATTGAATAAATATAGATAGGAATTAGTACAATTACAACGTTTTAAGTGTCAATCGTAATTTATTGTCATCGATTTTTTRAACATATATCCATAACGACTTCGATGTGTTTCGTGAAACGTGATAAAATAAAAATTTTAGGAAAAAAGAAATCGATCAAGAACTAGCGCAAGTAGAACCATTGATTGAAGAGTCTCAGGCAGCAGTGAGCAACATAAAACCAGAAGCGCTGACGGAGATCCGATCACTTCGAGCCCCTCCAGAAGTGATAAGGGACATATTGGAGGGCGTGCTCCGGCTTATGGGCATACAGGACACATCATGGAACAGCATGAAAACGTTTCTAGCAAAGAGGGGCGTCAAGGAGGACATAAGGTTTTTCGATGCACGCAGGATTTCGGARGCCAACAGGGACTCGGTGGAGAGACTTTTGAAGTCAAAACGTGACTCGTTTGACTCAAAAAACGCGAAGAGGGCATCTGCGGCGGCGGCACCGCTGGCTTCGTGGGTAGTAGCCAATGTCGAGTACTCGCACATACTTCACAAAATAAGACCATTGGAAACCGAACACGCTTCTTTGAAATCGTAATTATTTAATTTAAATAATAAAAATATGTGTTACTCAGTCACGCTTTGCAGTAGGCGCGAAGTCTTAAATTCATGCAAAATGTATTTATTTTTTGATACAGAAAATTGCAAAAAGCCGAAGAGCAAATAGAACTTTTAAGTGATGGGTTAGACAGTGTCGATAAAAACGTATCAGAATTAAGAGAGCAGTTAACTATTAACACTAAAGAAGCAGCTGAAATTGAATTAAACATTAGCAAAGAAAAAAAAACAATAGATGCCGCCCAAAAACTTGTCGAAAAATTAGATGACGAATTTTCGAGATGGGGTTTACAGGTAGATATTTGCATGAAATTGATAGAATACTATTGAACTAAAATTACTGATAGATACATAAATAAAGCTTGAAATACGCAACAGATTTAGTAAATTTCAATATTAAATCTTGTATGCGGATTGTTGTATAGTAAAATACTTATTTATATATTACAATTAAATTATATATTTATATTATGTTAATATTATAATTAAGTACCTTATCGTGTATACGAGGTCAATATTTTCATTTAAATCGTCCGAATTCATTAAATATAATTTTATCTAATTTCTATGAAATACTCAATAAATAATAACATAATTTATTATAGGTATGTGTTTATAAATGTACAAAAGAAAATGTCGTAACTAACACTTCTCATATAAATCGTAATTTATATCTGTCTAACTATTAATTGGTTAAAAATCGTAAATGATTTCATTGATTTCAATATAATCGAGAGTTAACTGTTTCAATAGTTGTATAATAATAATTATTTAACCTAACCTGATACCTACTAGTTTGTTTATTTAGCTTTATTATTCATAAATATATAACAATTTTTCATTTTATTCATAGAGCGTTATCGAATTCCGGAAATTTTTTCGCTTTTGAACTTTAAGAATATTATTATCATTAATCAAACATTTGAATTTTGACCTTAAATAATTATTATGTACTGATAATTATTGAGTAATACAAACACATTGTTTTGTGGCATACTTTATGTAGGTACCTGCAAATAAAAAACAAAAAAATTAAGTAATATGATGTAATATATAAAAATATGAAGAATATTTTTCACACACACTTTATATATTATATATGTATATAACGATTTAAATGATTAAATATAATAAACATTTAATTACATATATCATGTGTATATCAAATCAAAATTCAATGTATATTAAAAGTGTTAAGTGTTTGTCATAGGTAAATGAATTGTCGTCAAGCTTAGAAAACCTATTATTGAGCACACTGCTTGCGTCAGCGTTTGTGACATATTTATCGGAATGTTCAGATAGTATTCGCAATGAAAAAATTGAAAAATGGAAGTACGAACTAAAATCAAATGATTTTACGTTTTCTAAATTCATGGAATCTGAATGTCAGATACTGCAGTGGATTACTGAAGGCTTACCATCTGATGAAACATCGCATCAAAATGCCATAATACTCAAACAGGTAAACATGCCTACTTTGATTGATTAGTGTGATTACCAATATTTTGTTATTGTTTATTTGTAATATATTATTTATTTTAAAATATGTTTGTATAATATAGATTAAGACCCTTCAGATTTCGGTAAGTTGATAAATATATGCTCATATATATATAATATAATAATATAATATATAATATATGCTCCTACTATAAGAATCGCATACTATAATATGTACTAATGTGATATTGTGATGGTTGGACACGTATATAGGCTAAATTTTATCCATTGATCATTGACCCTAATAACAACATCATGGAGTGGTTAAAATTAAAATTACCAGTTAATTCAACAGAATTTACTTCATTTGAAAACCCAAAATTATACTCAAGTTTAGAATTAGCTGTTCGGTAAGCATTAAAAATTATATTTTTTACATACCTATCGTATACGTATAGTATTAAGTTCTTAATAATATGGTTCTAAAAATATTTAATTTTTTTTTTAAGTTTTGGTAAAACGATAGTAATATATAACGTAAGCAAAATCGATCCTATACTCGTACCAGTATTAAGAAGTGACTTTAAAATTGAAGGTAACTTTATACCTACATTATTTGACGATTATATAATATCGCCATTATTCATTATAWATAAACAAATTAATATGGATACTTATAGGGAGCAGAAAAATGGTCCAAATTGCAGATCGATTGGTAGATTACAACGAGAACTTCCAATTATACCTATTCAGCAATACTACTGACTTGACCTTGTCCTCAGACCAATCTGTTTTATTAACTATTGTTAACTTTACCTTAAATGACATTGGACTCACTGAACAGGTACCTGTCTAAATTAACAAATTTTTTTAATCACACAAAAGATTTTTAATTTTGAAATTTGATTTGATTTCTATAGCTTTTAAGACATGCATTGAAAGTACAAAATCCTAAATTAGACTCCATGCGTTTAGAATTATTGCACACGGAAGAAGAATTGAAATCCAAATTGCATGTACTACAAGAGAACGTGTTAAARGACTTAGCTGACGCTCAAGGGAATATACTCGAAAATCAAGTAAAATTATTTTTTTGTATTTTTAAAAACAAAGATGTAATGAATGTTACAATATTATTTTTAACCTACGGTATATAAGTAACATATGCGATTATTTAGGAACTCCTTAATTCGCTAGACAGTATAAAAACTAACAGCACTGAGATATCAAAATCACTCGACGAGTCACTAAAAGTGCAGAGAGAATTAAAGTTTGAATGTCAAGTGTACAAGCCATTTTCCAGTTACGCTTCAAAAATATATTTCGCTTTGAAAGATTTGTTCGTCTTCAACCGTTTTTGTCAAATCTCTATGTCGACATTTGTCAAATTGTTCCAGTCTACACTAAAAGTATAGTAACTAGCTGTGAAATAATTTTAGTTTTACTTACGATAAAATTACTTTTATTGTTTGTACGTCCTAGGAATCTACTGGAGGTACGAACCAAGAGAAACGACTATTACACACGGTTTATTATTATGTATCGAGATCGCTTTTCAAAGATCAACAATTGACATTCGCCACATACTTGTCTTATAAATTGAATCCAAATGATTTTGGTCCTAATGTTAGTATTTATAATCATATTTACGATTTACCGAATTGGGTTTTTAACTCTAACGAGATCAATTAATTTGTGAAAATAGGAATGGGAATTGTTCATTGGAAAAAAAACAACAAATATTGACGAAGGATTGAATTATAAAGATAATATTCCAAAATGGATTAACGACAACAGAGCTTTTGATGTGTACATGTTAAAAGTAAATATTATTTATAACGTGTATATAGTTGGGCCGATCCCCATCTCTGCCATACCACATAACATTGACATTTGACATGTCCAATGATATATAGATCATGTTTTTGGTTATTTGTAAATTGTAATGAATTAAGTTATTTTATATGATAAATCAAAACTATCAGATAACTATTGACTATATTATAATAGTTTATACATAATTTTAAATTTTAACTAAAATGTACGATATTCTCACACCAGGAATCTGTACCAGAACTTTACGAAAAACTTCAACTCGATAATCAAAACATTTGGAAAGACTTTGTCGAAACAACAAATTCCAGCATTCCGAAAGTGGTAAATGTGTCGAATTTTCAACAAGTATTAATAACACAAGCACTGAAACCCGATAGATTGCATAAAGTTTTGACAGAATTTTCACTCAATCAACTAAGTACATTACGATCGTTTTGATTTAACAGTTTGGAATCTTTAATAATATACCTATATTTGTCGTTTTAGAACTGACTGACTTATCACCATCGACGTTAAGTCTATCTAAATTGGTCGGAGAAAACGCAGAACCGGTGATGATAATCACGTCCATCGGATCTGACCCATCCGACGAATTGAGGATGTTAGCTAAACAAATTACTCACGAAAACTGTATAGAAATAGCTACAGGCGAAGACCCGAGGGAAGTCGAGTCACTGCAAGAACTGTGCAAACAGCCGAAATGGGTCGTATTGAAAAACATTCACCTGAGTTCGGAGTCTCTACTAACGGAGTTGGAAAAACGGTTAAAGTCATTAGAGGACGTGCACGAGAAATTCGCTGTGTGGATGACCGCAGAGCCCAACGAAAAAATTCAACATTCATTTGTTGTGTCGTGCGTTAAAGTCGCATACGAAGCGCCGCACGGCGTCAAGAAGAACATGAGACGRGCCTACGACATCTGGAAGAACGAGCATGTGGTGTGGAAATCTTTGGACGAAATGCGATCTGCTTACACTTTGGCCTGGTTCCATTCCATAGTGTTGGAACGCAGGACATACATACCGCAGGGTTGGTCACAATATTACGAGTTCAATGATTCGGATTTAACAGCAACCCTGAAAGTCTTACAGAAATCAATACATCGTGGTATGCATATTGTAGATTATAATGCACGAATATAATTAAACTTTTTATTTACATCCGTTACCCATTTGTGCAATAGATGTGACGAATATGCAGTATAGTAGTTTTATTATTTTATTTCAATAACGTAGAATTACAATTATTTTAAATTGGCAGCAACAATTTAAATTCAATTCTATACATCGCCCATCCTCACTTTAATATATATTATTATATATGTATATATATATATATATATATATATGAACCATAGAAGCGTCTGTCACTAGCCACTGTAGATAACGTACCTACACAATGTACAATATGAAATTATTTTTTTTTAATTATTTTAAATCGATAGAACACAGCTCAACAAGATGGGCATACATTCACGGACTATGTGAAAAGGCTATCTACGGCGGCCGAATTACAAATATACAAGACATAGCTATCCTCACAACATATTTGCGATGTGTGTTCACATCAGACAATGTCAATTGGAAGGATGGTATACCTGGAATCGTCGATTTAAATTCCGGTGACGCAAAGGTGAGTGAATTATTGTACAACTAAGGTGAATGCCTGTCGCCTGCTGATGTAGCTAAAAAAAAAAGAAATGATTTAATCTTATGAAAACTCAAAAATTGCATTTATCTATTGATATTTATAAAATTAAAATTATCCTTAGTATTATCCTACTAGTGAGTTAGTACTTTAACAGTATAATTTATTTATTTATTCACAGCCCATTTTCATTTTCACCACTATAATTACACTACATTCAAGTAAACACTCAAAAATCTTCATTTTGTCATATGCACATCACAATTTCACATCATTAATTATACAGTGATGTTTGACTGGTGATTTGTAAATCAAATATTTACCGTATGCCTAAACATTAATTCACACATGTCGTATACAAAAAAATTATTATCGTGTGCAATTTTTTAGATGTTTTCAAACCTTTTCATAAAAACTGAAATCATTTTTTGTGTAATAAAATAACACAAATTGTATAACCTAAATGCAATTTTAAAATTAATTTAAAGTGTTAAATATGAAACATGTATATGTATACGTATATGATAAAGTATAATATAATACCTACTGTACTATAAACAGTGTTAGGACATATCTAGATAAATTATCCAGATAATAATAATTTTATCTTTTATCTTATCTAGATAAATAAATATAAGTTATCTAAGTATTTATTTTAGATAAATATTTGACTTACCTATCTAGATAAATTTAAAAGATAATTTTTTTAGTGAAAATTAGATAGATCTGTACCAAAAATATTATTAACTATGTGAATTTTGTTTT